TACAAAGTTTTGATGAAAATATGAGATGTGTATAGTATACACTGTATACTATGCAGAGTAATTTACAAATGCATTTTTCTCGAAAATGGTGCATCTGAGCAATTGAAATAATGAGTACCTATTTTTCGTAAAAAACTATAAATTCTCATAATTTCATAAAAAAAATTAAATTATTAACCCAGAAAAAAGTTGGGGCTATTTTTGTAACTTTGTCCCCCCCCAAATGTTACGCCTATGATTTTAACAGTTTTGATCATAGATCTAGATTCAGCATGTCAAAATTACCAAAGTACCGAAAATTCATTTGTTCATGTTCAACCCTCTAGGAATAGTTTAAAAAAAATTATCCTCTTAGGCTCCTATTCAGGGGGCCGTAGCTCCTTTAGGGAGCATTTTTTGATACATGTTTATTTAACAAAAAAAAGGGTTATTTTTCTACGAATAATGCACTGTTTAAGTTTGGCCCCCTAATTTCGGGACACCCGTATAATGATAATTGTACCATAAATGTTAAAAAAAACGCGAAAATTCGATGGAAATCAAACTTTGGCCTCGAATAACTCTGGAAGGAATCAATATATAGAAAAATGATAGGAGACCTTTTTTGTAGAGCGTTAAATTTACTATGAAAATCTAAGATGATCCTTGACATAAGTTGATTCGATTCAGACGTATAAAATTTCAAAGTTAAAAAAAAAATTCCCATGTTATTTAAATGAGAAATAGAAAATTGCGATCCGAGACCTCTAAATCTTCAAATTAAAAGCTCAAATTTTGACATCCTCTGAAAGAATTTGCCGACCATTTGAAGAAAAAGAAAAAGTCGATTTTTCGACACCCTAATATATATAAACTTCAATTTAAATTCTGCTTGAGCAGAACTTGTTTATTTAATCTCATTATAAACTCATATAAATTTGGTGTGGGTCCCATATCTAATAATTGAGATGTCGGTATACCCAAAATCCACTAGCCACCACTGTTTTCCAGTAATAAACAATTTTTCGTAAAATTCTAAACCTTAAATTGGTCTAAAATGGATTTAGTGCTAAATTAAATGAATACTAACATATTTTTTAAAAACACGTTATTGAAACGTTAAATTTGTGGTAATTATGCACAAATACAATTTTCCACGAAATGGTGCATTCTAGGACAATTTTTATAGACCTTTAATAGACGAAAAGATTGTAATAAGTAAAATTTTTTAAATATGCGACTTTTGCGGAGTAAATGACAAAAACCTTAAAAATTGGGGATTTTGTCGAAATTCAACCCCTTACAGGCACGTGAAGGGGTTGGGTTAGCTATTCAAATTTTTGTGTTTTTTTTCTCTTGTGCTATTACAAAATGGGGGGTGGGACAATTCGATATTAAAAGTATGTTCGGATTGCAATAGTTAAATTAAAACAAAGTCGAATTCTTTACATTTTATTTAACATAATTCACGATTCATCTCCCAATATTTTCGGTTGAGAAAACATCGATCAGTTTAACATAATGGAATATTTTAAAACTACATGATTGTTTGTCATCAAATGGACCAATCAAAAAATATCATCATAGTTGTACACAAAATGGACCTTATGAATATATACAATGTCCAAATTTTACATTGTTTAAAACTATGCAGCTCCGAAATTTAGAACAAACGCTTTTTAAAGGTTAAATGGAAAATGATTTCAAAGTAAAAACTTGATATTTACATACACATTTAGTAATTATACACAGAGTAATTTTTAAAAACCCTGTATATTTGCAAGCATTCAGAAGTGTAAAAGTGTGCAGATTACTTCTAAATAGTTGCAAATTTAATTTATTTTACTACCTTGCTCAATACACAATTATTGCATAAGAAAATAATCATGGAAAATTATACAAGGTGCTCATAAATGTATAACTATTTTATACCCAGTATAATTTTTATGGTAATCCTATTTCTACGACTAGTTTTTGTACAGCAAATAGGTTAATGCTAAAAACGTTAAAAAAGCTATACAACCAAGTGTACATAGATATACAATGTATAAGTATTTATATTTACAGGACATACTAATGGTCAGTTTTTTATAACATTAGGTATAACAAGTTTAAATTAGTTTTTTATGTTTATAGCCTAATAAGCTCTTTTTCTGAATATATCATATTGCGAATATCTATAGATACACAGACCCCCCGGAATCCCGGAAAATTAAAAAACGTTGAGCTTTTACACTTGGTTTACCTTGTTTATATATAAATATATTGTTTCAATTTTTATTGTATGGATTAGGTCCAAGTTCCAAATAAATAATTGGTTTATTTTATAAGAAAATGCATTAGGGTGATTCTACAAAAGTTGGACAACTTGATGTCATAAGTCAATATAGTAGGTATTTTAATATTTTTTTAAAATATTTTAGTATTTTCCAAAAGATACAGTTTTTTTTAACTTGTCCACCCAATTTTAATGTATTTTTTTCAAAAGTACGTTTGTAGAAAAACATAATAAATATTCAAAACATCAGTACCTTGCCGTGTCACAACTCCTGAATCAAATAAAGGGTGTATCAATAAGAGCGCAAGATTTGAATTTCGCCTCAGTTTGGCAACCATGATGTCACATGATTAATGACATGACAGATTGATAGGAGACAGATGGAAGTTAGTAAATATAGAGCATTACACGATAGAACAACCCGTCCTGATTGTTAAACACTATTATCAAAATGATGAAAGTTTGATTGCCACGATTCGTAAAGGGCGTCCAATATTTTTTCAAAATAATGTTCCTAATTCATCTACTGTGAAAAGAATAATCGAAAAATTTGAAAGCACTGCTTCGGTTAGTGATGTGAAACACACGACACGAGCTCGTTCAGAACAAAATGTCGCAGCAGTTCGCAAGAGTGTGGCCGAGAGTCCAGAGACGTCGATTTGCCATCGTGCACAAGAATTGGACATTACAAAAGCCACTCTTCGGCGAATTCTTACTTAAGATTTGCACCTTCATGCCTACAAAGTCCAATTGACTCAACAACTCCAGCCAAAAGACCATGAACAGCGAAGAGACTTCACCAATTGGATCCTTGAGCAGCAAGAAGTGAATGCCGATTTTGCGGACAAAATCATTTTCAGTGATGAGGCCCATTTTCACCACTATTTAACACCCTTGGACTTTTGGCTGTGGGGTTATTTGAAGTCACAAGTTTATGCCAACAAGCCCGCCACCATCGAAGCCTTAAAAGCAGAAATTAGACGCTCTATCAACGAAATACCGCCACATGTATTCAATAATGTTATTGCAAATTTTGCCAAAAGAATACGCTTGTGCCAGTTAAGCCGTGGTGGCCATTTACCAGATGTGTTATTTTATACATAATTTCCAAATGTGTACTTTATAAATCAATAAATATTTCAATGCTTTAATACTTAAAACCATGTTTTACTAAACTTTGAAATCTTGCGCTCTTATTGATACACCCTTTATTTGAGTGGTTTTATTTTAAAATATATTCAATTTATCTTAAATTTTTCAATTTCACTACAAACTATAAAACATTAAATAATGTATTTTTCATATTTTATCATAGATTCGAATAATAGCAATTTTTAAAAAATTGATAATCTTTGTACTCACTTTTACCCGTCAGTTCTGTGTCCAATGTTAAAATTCAAAATTCCTGCGAAATATTGAAGTTTAAACGTCAAGTCCTCTATTTAACTCAAGTGTTGATAAAAAATTACCTACAGAGCCCGCCCTTTGCACGACAGTCATCTTGAAATCAATGCAAGCGGCGAAGTTGTGGTGAATGCACGTATAGTTCCAGTCAAAATTTCAATACTGTGGAGAGTAGTTATTTTCTTACGTATATTTATTTCATTGTAATTTATATAAGGCTATATGAGATTTGTTGATAAGTAGCATCCACTAATAAAAAATATCAGTAAAATACTTAATTCCGAATTATAATCTCAAATTTGTATCCCATTCATCAGAACCGTGTCGTCAGTTCCATGTTCGATGTTTCGGTTATCTTTTTTTCGCAAACTTCAATTTAAATTCTGCTTGCGCAGAACTTGTTTATTTAATGTCATTATAATCTCATATAAATTTGGTGTGGGTTCCATATCTAATAATTGAGATATCGGTATACCCAAAATCCACCAGCCGCCACTGATGTGTGGTATTATTTGATTTTAAGATATTTAATGTATAATATGCTTAAAGTTGCAATAAATCTTATATTTTCCAATGAATTTTGTATTTAATTAGTACCGTGGTATACTCGTCACTTCCCTTGCATTCAAATTTAGAAAACAGATATTTCAGAAACTTTTTAAAAAGTGACGAAATACTGTTTAATTTTCTCCGAAAACTATATAAACAAAATGAGGTCAAAAGTTGCCCAACTTTTGTAGAATCAGCCAATTGGAGGATTTTTACAATACACGTGGATTCCTGGGGGTCTGTAGATCATACCTTCAAGGTGATGCGTGAGTTTTGGGAGACCCTGTAGGTATACAGAAACTCTACTTACCTGACTGTTTAATTTTTAAGATTGGATTTGAAACCTATTTCAGTGTAGGCGAAGTATGAAAGTCTAGAGATATAAATGCAAAGATTGCTGCCATTTTATATAAAATTCAAGCTTCATGTTATTGCATTTTCGCATTTTCGCGAAACGAGAAATATTTAAATTATTTTTTGAAACAAGAATAAAATTTAAAAATGCTTTAATATACAAAACACTGGTCAACACGTTTTAAGGTAAGAAACATAACAGCATAAGTACCGTACAACAGGGTAAATTTGCAGGATATATTTATTTTTATTTTATAAACCTTCACACCGCTTTTTCCTTATTTAAGATTCTGAAATCCTGCAACCTTCTTATACTCATACTTATAATCATGTTAAAAAAGCAATTCCTCTGAGAATAACTGAATCTAACAAACTTTGACCAGTGTGTACCTATCTTATTGCTAAGAGTATATATACGGTAAAAAGTACACAGTCTTTAAGAAGTGAAGTCCGCCTTCAGGCCGATGTCGTTGAGTCCTGCAACAATGTGCTCGCTCAATTTGGCGTCCTGCCGGACCTGCGAATGTTTATAGCCGGTGAGAAAGTGACACGTTCCGGCAATATCTGCAGGAAAGTCCTTGGGCAAGCAGGAACGGTCGCGTTCCTCGAACGTGAAACCCGGAGTTTCCATTAGCCTCCTGTAATAAAATTCAGATGTTCAGGAAAAATGACTTTTATTGTTATTCTATTATTTTTAAACGTAGTGTGTGGGTTTACATTATAAAAAGGACTTTGTTAATTAAAAATAAAACTAATAAAATTATTTACAAACATTTGAAAATTGTGTGCTAAAATTGTATGTATGCGCAAACTTTCAGTAAAATTAATTTTACAAGTTAAAACAACTAAAATTGTCCCATGCAAATATTGTGAATTCTAAAAATTATATCAGCTTAACAATTCATTGAGTTTTTCCACCTATTCTTAATTAAAACTTTTGGATCACTAACAGGTTTTTCACTGTAAAATCAAATTTTGTATTTGTATATCCACCTGCATCCACAACCCTGATAGCAAAATTTGATTTTAAGAATCTTCTAAGAAGATATGACCCGGAATAATGGAATATTCTTAGAAGCTTCCCTTATTGCTAAGAATGTTCTTAGGAACTTTTAAAACATTCAATAGATACCCTTTTAATGATGCAATGAGATTCTTAAAAACTTCTTAAAACCTTCTTAAAAAGCATCCCAAGAACATTTTAAGAATACATTTTTGGAATGTTTTAGAAGGTTTCTTATGGAGCTTCTAAAACGCTTTTGAGAATATTCCCAAAAATGTCAGATACCTACGTTGTATATATGTTGTATTCTACATTCGTGAAATTTTTCAGCAGACGACAAATACGCCTAGGCACCTCACTGTCATAATATGACAGTGAAATGTATTTTTTCGCCCAGCACATATAAAAATTAATCATATCAAACCTAAAAATATGACCGAAAATAATATTTATTGTCTCTAGGGTCGCTAAACTCAGTTTTTCACATTACAGACACCTTTGACTGACATTTATGTATTTTTGCATTTGAAATTTTGACATTTGATATCATCAGACGTTTGTGTAAATCAAAATCAAAACGAACAACAAAAGTATAAAATAACAATAAACCTGGATTGCAATTTTGTAATAAAGTGAAAATGAATGGTAACTCGGACAGTGACGAAGAATTTACGAATACTCCACCAGATTTGCAAAAGGAAGCTAGCAATGTTTCTATGAATTTGTTATCTACAAAGTCAAGACAACGGTACGAAAAGTGCTATAAATGATTTAAAAACTGGAAAAAAGGTAAAAAAGCCAAAAACTTAACAGAAAATGTATTACTTGCTTATCTATCGGAAAGATCAAAGATTGTAAATGCAGCTACACTATGGTCTGAATTTTCAATGTTAAAAAGCACTTATAAAGTCAATAAAAATATTAATTTTGATAATTTTTACAAGATTCGAGCAACAAAATTCTGTAAATTACCAACCTAAAAAGTCTAAAAAAAAAATATCTGTAGGAATCCAAGGAAACCAAGAACACCAGCCTAGTACTATCAGAAATAACACAATTGAAGTGTTAAATATTTCTAATCATCTAAACAAAATACCATTTAATACAGATAATTCTAATAAACCATCAACTGCATCTGTAGAAATAAGCCACCATGCACTGGCACTTTAAACACTTACCAAATGCCTTCAAATTCTGATATTACTATCCACAATTGTGCCCAAGGCATAATTAACATTAATTACTATAATAAATAAATTCGTAAATTGTTACTGAAGTTTCTTATAAAATTCCGTTTATATTAATAAAATTTAAAAAAATAATTTGTTTGATGCTAGGCGAAAAACAGGTGTGTCACACATTAAAGAAATTATTTTTTTTTAATTTTAATATTTTTACGAATTTATTTATTGTTGTAATTAATGTTAATTATGCCTTGAGCACAATTGTGGATAGTACCAGAATTTAAAGGCTTATTTCTACAGATGAAGTTGATGTTTCATTAGAATTATCTTTGATCTTTCCGATAGATAAGCATTTTCTGTTAAGTTTTTTGCTTTTTGAACCTTTTTCCAGTTTTTAAATAATTCATAGCACTTTTCGTACCGTTTCAACGCATTGTCTTAACTTTGTAGGTAAAAAATGCATAGAAACATTGCTAGCTTTTTTTTTCAAATCTGGTCAAGTATTCGTGAATTTTTCGTCACTGTCCGAGTTCATTTTCACTTTATTACAAAATTTAAATCAGGTTTTATTGTTATTTTATACTTTTGTTGTCCGTTTTTATTTTGATTTACACAAACGTCTGAAAATCTCAAATGTCAAAATGTCAAATGCCAAAATACATAAATGTCAGTCAAAGGTGTGTAGATTGTGAAATAATCAAGTTTAGCGGCCCTAGGAACGATATGAGTTTAGCGACCCTAGAGACAATAATAGTTATTTATGTATTAAGGGCATAATAAGGTTTTTATGGTCCGAGGCGCTATTTCGAGCCCGAGCGCGTTAGCGCGAGGGCTAGAAAAGCGTCGTAGGACCATAAAAACCAGTTATGCCAGCAATGCATACAAAACTTTATGCACGATTAATACATTATTATTTTTAATATATTATTGTTTTTAAAGACGTTTACGTCAAAGAATTTTTGTTATAATTGTCATATTATAATGTCAACTGACATCAGTCAGTTTTAAAGTTTAAAGATGAATGAAATTGAGGAAGCAGCTGAAAAGGCGAAAAATTGCGGCCTGCTGCCGGAAAAATCAAAATGTTTATACGAAAAAACTTACTTCGAATATATCAAATGGTGTAACATTGTTGTTTTTAATTTTTGACGTTTCATTATAGCCCGCTGGGTCATAATAACGCCCGCGGGCTATAAAAAGACGTTTACGTCAAAGAATTTTTGTTATAATTGTCATATTATAATGTCATCGTGCATAAATATTATTTTCGGTCATATTTTTAGGTTTGATATGATTCATTTTTATATGTGCTGGGCGAAAATATTCTATGTCGTCCCCTTAAAAAATTTTGCGGCATATTAATATATTTATCTAAAAATATTAAATAAACATTTTGACCTCTAAACCATAAAAAGTAAAATTGGAAAATTTTGTGGGATAAGTCAGATTAGATTGAAGTTGAAGATAGTTAGGATTATTATACATAAAAATATTAATTCAGAAATAAAAAATCGGTATACAAATTACCTAATAAATATTTATTTTTAACATAAAATAAAATACCTATAATAAAAATATTTTTGTTATCGAATAGTGTTTTAATTTAACAAATAACTATAAAAAATATTTTGGATTGTGTTTTTTACTTAGTATTTAATACTAATAACTAATTAGTATTAATTAATTAGGTACTTAAGTATGGGTATAAGTATACCTTTATACGTAGTTTATGGTATATTTTACTATTATATAACTACATATGCTTAACAGGAATATTCCTAAATGAATTACTTTCTTAACATTCTAAGCATATCTTTAGAGTAGACTAATTTTTACCATTAAAACTTTGCACCTTCTAAGAACCTGCCTATAGGCCAGTAAGAAAATTCTTAGGATCATGCTATATTTCTTTAAAGCATGTTCTTTAGAAGAAATATAGCATGATCCTAAGAATATTCTTACTGGAAGGTTTAAAAAACATTCTTAGAATAAAGTGTGCTATCAGGGAACCACATGTTGTTCACTGATAGCAGTTGCCCGAGTTTGGGGAAAAGAATGACCTTTATATAACTTGTTTAAAACCGAAGATTTACGTATTTTCTATACGACATGCTGCAGCCATCATCGGTTATGAAAAATCTTCTTTTAGTTTAATTCGTTGTTTGTCGCAATGTCACAATAATGGAGCTTCCAACAAAAAATCGCCCTTTACACGGCAGCTGCATTTAGAACCTTGTTATTCCAAGGTACCGATTAGTCGACAATCCAAAAATGTAACGAAATTATTTGTTGGCGACATATCAATTTTGGGGATGACACGGCAAAAATATTTTAATGAGAATGGGAGTTTTAAGCTTTGTGTTATATCTCCAAGGGTTATTTTTAGACACCACAAAATACCGTTACAAAAAATGTTTTTATGGCAAAAAGTGTTAATAGTGTGGTTGTCGGGATAATGAAGATTGGAAAAAGGATTTTAATTTAAGTTTTAATACTCATATTAGGATGTAATTAGGGTGGAAATAATAAAAAAGTGTTGTGTGAGAAAGGTTTACCTAAAAATTATTACAAACAAAAATTTATAGGTATTACATTTCTTTTTCATTCTAAGCAGTTTAGGTTTTATTTTTCATTAGTATTAAAATGAGTGTCTAGAAAAGTTTATAAACGAGTTGCATACTATACTTTTTCTACGACAAATATTATTAGAAAAAAAGTATTTGTTTATTGCGATATCTAGAGTAAATTTTGTTTTCCAAATGCCCAATTTATTTTACGAAAATACACTTTTAAAATGATACAAGAAGATTACAACTTAAACGAATTTTCTCTTTATGAATCATACTCAAAATGTAAAAATATTACAAATTAAAAACATCAAAGTGTTTATTTTTGACTCGTTAAATATATTGCATATTTTTAAGCTTAATATAAAAGTAATGCCATAAAATAAATAGTACTTTTTACGACGCGCTCGTAAAAACTTTTCTAAAGGATCATGACAAATTGAACATAAAGTCGGAGGTCGGCTCAAATATCTGACGAAAAACTAATTTCGAATTTAGCGACGAAAATAAGCACTAACGTGGCATAATTTGTTTGGCTAAATCATACAAGGAAAAAACCGTGCATGATTTTGTGTCATAACATTTTTTATTGCCGGATTACTAAAACTTTTGCTGAAAGAAGAAAAATTAAGTTTTTGCTCTCGACATAAGTTAATAAAAAATTCTATGTAGAAATTGTAATACAAGTTGAGTTAAATTATCAGAAAACAGTTTTTTTTTAATATATTATTTCCTCTACGAATATCTAGTTTCATCCTACAATGGAAAACATACATTAGCAGGAAGTCGTCTTTTACCTTCAAGTAAAAATGTTTAATTTAGAAAAACCGGACTAGCTGACATCTGAACTTTGTGTACAGCAGCGCCGTGCGTGGGCGGAATAC